ATTTACACACACACACACACACACACACACACACACACACACACACACACATATATATATGTATAAGGTATGATATATTTGCGGGTAAAATTGCTCAATATAAGTGTACGTAAATATAAGATATAAAAGTGGACACTCAGGTCAACCCAAGCGGCAAATGTCTATTTCATGCTTAAACACATGATCTGAAGTGTGCGGTAAAATATGAAACAGACTGTTGCCGCTTGGTGTTGACCTAAGTGTTCACTTTTATATATATATATATATATATATATATATATATATATACACCTAGTGAAGCCAGACAAACCTACCTAGGTTTCACCTAAACGGATCGTCAGGGAAAGCTTGGCCAAGCTTTCCCTGACGATCCGTTTAGGATCTAAATAGGTTTGTCACAACTCTACTAGGTGTATCTAGGTCTGCTCTACGATTGTATTGAGCTCTTTTGTTAGTTAGTTGTTACTCGTATCGGGGTTTTTTTTTTGAGATTCAGACCTGCATCTGTGCGATTTTTGTCGGCAGAAGTTCATGTTTGTAGCTCTTTCTTTTTTAAAACCTTTTTCCCTCGAAATTGATTTGATTAACAAATCAAAAAATTCGAGGGTTTTTTCGAAACGAGTCTAGTTATTTATATTTATATTTATATATATATATATATATATATATATATATATATATATATATATATATATATATATTAATCATTCCCCCCAAGAAAGACAATAAACTCACTAAGACGCAAGAGGTTACTGAGTGTTAGAGAATATGAGAAACATATGCTGTTAAGTAGAAAAGACAATAAAAGAACAGAAATTAAGACAGACGATAACGATTGATATCGCATTAAAATTTTTGTATGTCAAAGTTGACTGGAAACCAGGAAGCCGGAAGTGGATTCCACACGCGGGACTCCTCCAGAAGTGCGTGAGAAGAAACTGTTAACATAGAACTTACGGTTACATCTAACCATTTTAACTGTAAAATGCTGAGACCTTGTCGCCAATCTAATACTGCACTTAAATTCATAAAGTCTAGGTTTCAAAGTGCTAAATTCATCAGACTAATTACCGTGAAAATATTTATAGAAAAGGAGGGAAGTTACGTTACGGAGGTGAGAAAGGAAGCCAACATATAGCATTTTAGGTATAGTAGAATATATATATATATATGTGTGTTCGTGTGTGTGTGTGTGTGTGTGTGTATGAATAATGACAAAAGGAAAACTTTTCTTTACCGACGCGTTTTGTCCACTGATGGACTTCATCAAAGATTTCTTTCTTCTTTCTTTCTTTCTTTCTTTCTTTCTTTCTTTTTGCATTCATATTCAAAATCTATCGTCGTATTATGGATACAGTTCACTTTTATTTTTATTTCCTTTGAAGTACTTTCATCTTGCCCACACTACCAATTCGGTGCTAACATACCCCAAGCGCGGCCTTCTTTTCAGACTCTTAACCGGAGGCAGACGTTTTTGGTGTTACTTTTTTCACACCGACCTGAGCAGCTTAATTAAAAGATAGAAAAAAAGGCTTTCTCCGGCATTGCCATTCTTATCATTAACATCATTACCAGAATGTCATAATTATTATATTTTTCTCATATTAATGATATTGATTATAATTATTAGTTGTTATAATCAGTTAATGTCTATATTATTCTAATTTATACATATATTTATAACCAACATTATTATTTAAAATTGTCTTATATTAAAAGCGAGAAGAAAGGGCTAAACACCAATTGTAAGAAGCCAGAATGTATGATTGTCAGCAAGAGGAAGAGGCCAAGTAAAGGAAAGCGAGAAGAAAGGGCTAAACACCAATTGTAAGAAGCCAGAATGTATGGTCGTCAGCAAAAGATAAGCAGCTCAAGATGTCAAGCTCTGAATTGGAAATCTCAAAATCAAGCAAGTGGAGACGTTTTAATATCTGAGAAGTATTTTAGCGGAAGACATAAAATCAGATATTGAAATAAGTACATTGGAACAGCAGAAAGATACCTTCCACAACTAAAACAACAAAAAGTATTAAGAAAAGAGAAAAAAAATCCATTAGAAATGAAAAACGAGTGCAGCGTAATATATATTTTTTTGTATTTCAGTTGCTTCACAGATGAAAGATAACACGAAGAGAAATGGAAGGAAATCAAGGGTCACTTTTATATGCTAAGCGAAGAACGGCTGCTTGCCTGGAAACTCAGCATTCGACATACTGAAGTGAACGCCGAATTCTGGAGCCTCTGTAAGAAACACAATTATTTAACCCATTAAGAAGGCCAAGTTATTTAAACATAGATACTATGGCAGTAGAGGAGCACCCTGTGTGAATATATATTCAGTACACGAGATAACTGATCTGCAGGCGCACGTTCCTAATTCTCACGTTACAGTAAACTACTACTACTACTATTATTATTATTATTATTATTATTATTATTATTATTATTATTATTATCTTATTTCCTTTTATTTCTGGTGTGTACTCATTTCTTTCTGGATCCCGACCGTAAGGTCAGAAATGGCATCATGACATTTCCACTGAGCAAATTTGAAAAAAAAAAATATTTTGACATAGATAAAGCCCTTCATAAGCTGTGAACGTATTTTTGTACTTCTTTAAGGCATGAGCTACTAGAAGTCCCTTCAATGAGTCTATTGAAATCTTTTTCAATCTAACCGAGGGCTCCAACTACAACTTTACTTGGTGTTGTCTCTCATGTGCCACATTTTTGAGATTTCGATTTCAAGGTCCTTAGCAGCGGACAAACAAAGTGATGCTCGGGTACAAATATGACAAGTTCATGAGACCCATTCAGATAAGTGTATATTAGACAAATGCACCACAGCCAAATACATGCAATATGACGAGAGGATGAAATAAAAGCAGTCCATAATCTTGCGAGTTGGGTCTATTTAGAAATAATTTCCAGTCGGGTAACCCAGTCCACTCAGACGGTTGAAATTTTTACCAAATATATAGACGTGAATCTCTTGGCCCTTGACTGCCTCATCGTACCCCCCCCCCAAAAAAAATCCCAACAAACAGTTATGATACTTTCAAACTATGTAGAAACTATGTCCTTATGTAGAAAAATGCAGTGTGTGAGACCCTGATAGAACTTGTTACGGTCGGACAAATGAGAAATATTCTACTGTAGACTATCTTTAGTCACCAAGGCAAAACATGTACATGTTGACGCCTCCAATCATTTAAGCCATGAGAGTCATACCTTGCGTCTCATCCGAGCATTTGTTATTGTTATTATAATTTATCTGGAGTAGAATCGACATAATTACGTATCCTTACAGCAGCATTGTGATTCTCTATCCAATTAATTTAATTTTCTACGTACGAGGAGAAATCGAATTTAACCAGCTCTTCGAGAAATCGATTTAAATACTGACGTACACAGACACACGCGCGGACACGCACACAGGTCTTCATTATCCTCGTTAATTTTACATAGTTAATTAAATATCTAAGATAGATTACACTAACACAAGCTAATTCAATAATATTAAATATCATAATCACACAATTAATTTGCATAGGAGACAATAGAGTCGCTCTCTCGAATCAAGTATTAAAAGTCAGTTTTTCGATAAATCTAAGTAAATATATCGAAAAAGTGAAGATGGAAAACGGAAAGCTTATCAAGTTTGAATAGTCACTTAAATAGACTGATATCCGTTTCAACAAATTTAGTAATTCAAGGCCACAAATTATTCCGGCTTTGAGATATATTAAAGACATAGGAGATCATGGCACTCCACCAATCCTGGGTAAGACGATAAACCATCTGACAGCAAGGCAAGGAGATTTTGAGGAGTATGGAACCACCTTTTAATTGCTGGTGTTCCCAGGTCCAACCTGACCCGAGGTGGTAGCACCTGTTAGGGGGTCCCAACTATGGGAAAAGAGTTAACGTCCAAACTGGGATCAAAACGCTATAAAAGCGTAAAAATAGGTTTTAATACCAGTAATACATTGTTGAAGAAAATAAATATTACCACCAATACATTTAAAAAATTACCAGCAATACATTTTTGATATATATATATATATATATATATATATATATATATATATATATATTTAAAGGGTGGGTGGCATATATATATATATATATATATATATATATATATATATATATATATATATATATATATATATATTAGTGGTCAATATTTGTAGGTCTGATGTATTGGATCGTAATTACGATTCCAATGTAATAAATTATAACCATGCATTATTAGTGATTGAGCCTTTTATATTATATTATATCTTTATATATATATATAAAGACATTTTATAGATACAAGTATTTTAGTAAATGCTCTGTTTATAATAAACAGTATAAAATAACATTTACCGACCTTATCTATAAAAAAGAATGTTAAACATAAAATGTCTTTAAATAATTGTCGGACCTTGTCTATTTCATAATATATATATATATATATATATATATATATATATATATATATATATATATATATATATATATATATATATATATATATAATTAAATACGGGTATCTAATAAAAATAACGTTTGGAATAATAAATACATCTCGGATTAAAAATAAAATCCATTAATTTTTAGAAATTGCTTCGGCAATTGAAATCTTATTAAAGAAAAATGCCTGCAGGCATTGGGCATTTTTTTTAATAAGATTTCTCGAATGTTCATATCGGTAGACGAAATAAAATAGTGTTTAAAATAAACGAAGCGTCTACTCAAATATGGTTAACCACTAAAAATACCGTATAATATATATATATATATATATATATATATATATATATATATATATATATTTAATAACAAAGACCGTTCATTCCTTCGAAAATATTGGCCAGAAAATTATTATTTAGATATGAACAGACTGAAATAGATAGATAGATAGATAACTATATCATAGATAATTTCCCTCTAGCTACGGATTAAATAACTGTCAATCGAGGATGATTTACGGGATCTATCTATCTATCTATCTATGTTGAAACACCAGTTATCGTACGATCACCGAAGTTAAGCAACGTCGAGCCTGGTCAGTACCTAGATAGGTGATCGCTTTGGAATGCTAGTTGCACACACACATACACACTCAAATACAAATATATATATATATATATATATATATATATATATATATATATATATATATATATATATATGTGTGTGTGTGTGTGTGTGGGTACGGAATAGTTCTCCAAAATCCAACGATCAAACATAAGAATTTGTATGAAAAAAAAAAAAAAAAAGGAAAAAAAACAAATCAAGAGAGTCAAAGTGTGCAGAATTTGTTAGCAAAAAATTTTGAATTGTATTTTTGTTTCACAGTCGAAAAGAAAATTTTTCAGAACCACCACGTATACGTTTGCACCTTACACACACACACACACACACACACATATATATATATATATATATATATATGAAGTCACATATTCTAGGTTTCAGTAGGAAGTTAGCCATGCTCAAATGATACAGTTTCCACGTACTCTGCAGGCGATAAACAACTACCTTCAAACTATCATACATTTTCAGTAATATAGCACACGCGAAAAAAAAAACAAAAACAGCAAGCCACCACCCCCCACCAAAAAAAAAAAAAATCCCCCCACAAAGTTTCACTTCATCTTATATTTTTCGACTCTTTGAGGGAAGGACGCAGTCGTGCCCGAAAATTCCAATTTTTTGTAAACCCTTCTTAGGATGCTTCCATTAGACTGAAAAAAGGTTGCACCCTATCTGGTCAAAATTCAGTCCTTTGGTAGTGTCGTCTCCAGGGCGTAAGCCTGAGCGATCTTATATGAAGGCCGTGCGCTGCCCAGACTACATGGCCGCCACTCTCTCATTTGGGGATGTTTGGCTTGAAAGATGTCCGTGTTATCATCCAACCGCCCTTGGGGCTCCACTACGGGTTTTCTGTCTGGATTTACTTCCATATCCTTTTCCGTCAACATATACATAAAACATATAATGTGCGTATATAAACATTATATACATTATGTGTTTTAGAAGTTCAAATATATATATATATATATATATATATATATATATATATATATATATATATATATATATATATATATATATATATATATATATATATATGTGTGTATGTTGTGTATTGAAGAGACTTTATCTTGATGGAAACGACTATATTGAATGAATTTGAAAAACGATCAAGAATTGTGACTACTAACCACGGCCCTCCTCGAACTTGGACGATATTGTTAAAGTGAGAGAGGTTTGAGGAAACTTAAACTATCTGGCAAATATGCGATATAGTAATACTATTAATAAATGCTCTTATGTTACACTCGGCATAAACCTCATGGTTTCTGATCTTAATTAAATTCAGGTTTTAAAGTGTGCATGTTTTTCTTGGTAAGTTAAGATGGGCTGCAGTAACTATCCCATTACCTGACCGTAAACAGCTGGTCATGTCTTCTAGGAAGTGACGCACAGTGCATCTCTATTCATTAGCGGTAGTAATAGGACAGCATCATGGCCAGGATTTGAAAAGTCTATTTTCCTGTTTCGTCATATTTTTTATTTTTTTAAAAAAGAAGGATGAATCGGCTATGACGATATGGAAGTTGCATCAAGATACTTGGGAACATTCAAATGGAGACCTTTAGATCAGACTGGGTTACGCGACCTGAAGGCATTTTTAATTGGACTCTGTAAGGTCATTTGCTGCTTTTTTCATAAGTCTTTTACGATACCACACACATTTGGCTGCGCTACATTTGTCTGGTATACACTTATTAGACTGGATGAGTATATTGGGATTCGTATATTTGTACTTCAGCGTTACTTTGGTTGGAATTCTGTCCTTATAAATATAGCTGATTTTAAACAATATAATTATATATTAAATGACCAACGATGGTCGAAATTATTCGCCACACTGCACATAATTTTGGCAAGTTACTTTCAAATTTTTCCACTTGACATCAAACGACTTATCAGACCAGAATCTCACTGAATGGTTCAACAGACATTCACTGTCCATTATAATCAATATATATATATATATATATATATATATATATATATATATAATGTTGAAAAAATAAATTTCACGGAAAAATGATAATTTTAGTATTTTGCTAAAAATCATGGCTGAATATAAAATGCGCATTCGACACTATTTATTTTCATATTTAATCTAGTGGAAAATTACAACCTAAACAAGATAATAATAATAATAATAATAAAAATTAGCACATATAAGCAATGTGTATCGATATATATATATATATATATATATATAACCACTCAAGCAGACAGACAGACATACTCGGATACGAGCAGCCAACTGTTATATATATATATATATATATATATATGTGTAAGCAAATATATGGATATAAATCCGACAGTATGAAAGAAAATACAGAAAAAACAAAATTCTGAATATACATTATTAATGTTAAAATAAAGTCGACGTCGGAACTTTCGGTCTATTTAAGACAATCTTCATGGAATTTTCATTTAAACATAATTAACATTAAAACTTATAACAAATTGTTTAAGTTTTAATGTTAATTATGTTTAAATGAAAATGTTGAAGATGGTCTTATGTGGGAAACGTCGTCGTCGACTTTATTTTAACATTAATAATGCATATTCAGAATTTTGTTTTTTCTGTATTTTCTTTCATATATATATATATATATGTAGATATACGCACACACAAAACACACCCACATATATGTATGGATAGCACTTTTATGTGACAAAATTACATGAAACTGACAGTATTATTATTATAATAATATTATATTTAAACTCTGTATGTTTTCTATTAAGGTATTTAATTTTACAATGCTGGCGCTTTCCTCTTACACACACACACACACACACACACACACACACACACACACACACACACATATATATATATATATATATATATATATATATATATATGTGTGTGTGTGTGTGTGAGGTGGTATCAGAATAAGCAAACAAATATGTAGAACAAATTGCTGGAAGCTTTAAAATATATAGATACCAAAAAACGTACTGCTTCGTACTTCTCACGTGTCTCTTCATGCAAAGACCACAATTATATATTTCTTAATCTTCTGATTGCATATCACCTCGTCTCTTTACATCTTCTTATACAAAATCTTGTCTGTTTGAAACTTGGGAGGTGGACCTCCTCGTACTACACAAAGCAATGGCGATAATAATATAAGGTTGGTGCAAAAATAATGACGTAATAATGTCGTTCTTTGACGTATTTTTAACGTCAAAAAACGACATTATTACGTCATTATTTTTGCACCAACCTAATATTAATAATGTCGCAAGAATGATATACTGGAAATTATGCGACAAGCATGGATTGGAGAAAGCAGGAATATAATATGGGTACACACGAGAAGGTATCCTTTTAAATAATAAGTATGAAGTATTGCTCAGCAAACCAGACATTATAGAGGTAGATAAAAGAAGAAAGAGCATGTATCTTCGTAGATATTGCATGCCCTGCAGTTTATAGAGTAATTGACAAAGGAAAAGTAAAACATGAAATCTATAATAGTTTAAAATGGCAAGTTTACAAATTATGGTCAATTATTAGAATGGAAGTCATCACCATTGTTGCTGGAGCTCTGGGCACCATGAGTACAGAATATCCAATTTCCGAAATAGCCGGAGAATATTGCACTTTTTGGAGCTGTTCGTATACTCCGAAGTGTCCTCGAACCGTGATGAAAACTTTAAACCTCGACCTTGAATCAGATTCAGTAGCGACGTAGCACGCTAAAAATACCACACACACACACACACACACACACACACACACACACACACACACATATATATATATATATATGATAAAATAAAATAAAGAACAAGTCGGAAACGTATTTAGCATGTTTCATTTTGTTAAGGCTTCGTCAGAGATCGAGATAAAAATGAAGAAAGCAAAGATACAAAGAGCGCTGGTATGTTATGATTTTTGATTAGTTCATTTGATTTCACTAATGCCAGACTAATTAAAAAAAGAAAGAACATGATCTTTTAAAGAGAAAATATTATGAAAATATATTTAGAGCATTGCTACCATCTATAAACACTCAATTAAAACATTACATCACATCGCCATCTTTCTACAGATCCATTATTCATGATCTATCTAATATATAAAATAATGAAAATATACATATATTTTTAAAAATATGCATAATAAATGCTTTAAAGATAAATCCAGCCAAAACATGTGTCTCTGTTTTTTTTTTTTAAATTTCTATTTCGATCTCTGACGAAGCATTAATAAAAGCGAAACATGTTAACTTGAGATACATTTCCTACTTGTTCTTTATTTTATTTTATCATCTTGTCGGATTCCTATCCATATCTGATCTACATTTTATCGTCAATATATATATATATATATATATATATATATATATATATATATATATATATATATATATGGTGCAATGGATAAATTGTTGTCTAAATTACGCAAAAAAATGAAAATAATATTGACATCTCATTTAAACAGATATATTTACCAAAATTACACATATATCTCTTGAAATACTAAAGAGTAAATTTATTCAATAAAACCACCATTGGCTTCAACCACGGCCTCAGGACGACTTCTGAATCTCCTGTAACTCTTCTAAACGGTCCCCTTGTTTAAGTTGGTGAATGCTGCCATAATCCTTGCCTTCAGTTAATCTTTGATGTTGCAAGGAGTTTTGTTGGTCTCACGACCAACTGCACCCCACAAATAATGATTAAGGGGGTTGTAGTCTGGGGAGTTATGTGGCCAATGTAAGAGGTGATGTAGGCATAGAAATTGTCTGACAGCCATGACTGGATTATCCTGCTTGTTTGGCCTGATGCAGAGTTCTGTTGCTACATATAGTGTCTTCCAGCATTCACCTACGTGACCCATAACAGCACTACCTCCGCAAGGCACTTGATGTAGACCTTGTGTTGAGTCTGAGGCCCTGGGGGAAGATGAATAAAGGCATCATGTAGCCATCACTAGTGATCACTCCAAACACATTCGTAATCACCATTAGATTCATCTAACTCTTTTCGAACCCTA